CTGAATCCGTCTGGATCTGAGGAGTTGTTATATAAGGTCGGTGCTCTGTCCTTGAGTGGGAAACAATTTAATTTAGTGTGTTAAATCTAACGGCATGATTTAATTTCACTAGGAAATATATACTTGGAGGTTTCATTGAAATACTGAAAAAACACTGAAATGACAACTAAACAAATCAAAGATTCAAGAGAGAACAAAAGCTATATTATAGTCCATATTATGACATAACCCATCTATACATATGAATTTTACATTACTGTATTTAAAAACATCCCTATAGAACACAGAAAATTACATTATAATCAATATATTTTTGAATTACACAGACAGTACCATGTGAATGACCATGCATACAAGTGTGCATACGTATAGGCCTACATTATGTGAAAGCATATCACTTGCCAAACACACACTTATAAATATATGTGGCTCTTCATGTTACAAATGTTGAACTCTGGTGCCGTCAGGATAGAGCAGAGAGAAGCAACACAGGCTACCTCGGCAAAAAATAAAAGGATTTTTTTTTAGGTTCGGGGAAATCACAGACTTTCTAAGAATTTGAATCCAATCATTTCAACATTTTCCCTAGATAAGGTATCAAGATTCAAGACTTTACTGTGGCGTGTGTGTGTGTGTGTGTGTGTCCATGTGGTTAGTGTGTATCTGTGTATTGATTTAAAAAAAAATTACCAGGGGATTCAGGCAAACAAAAGGCAGCTGTATTAGGGTGTTTTCAGTGGGGTGTAGGTCACACAATTTAGGAAGATTAAACACAAACAAACACACACACACACACACACACACACACACACAGAACATGTATATTTTAGAAGGTCTTTTTAAATGGTTAATATTTTATATGCAACGCTTTATCCATATTGAGTTTGAGCATGTTTTGAACAGATATCTCTCTCCAGTTACATTACAGTTACTCCAACTTACATAAATACTATACACTAAGGGTATGTTTATGTTCATAATGCTATACATTAGAAATTTGTTCCTTTCTATTCAAACCTGCTGAGAAAAACTGCATGTACTATATACATTTCTATGCATATATATGTGCATTTTGATTGAATAATATATTTGAGCTCACATGTTTGGAACAAGCGTTGGGCATGCTCGGTCCAGCCTTTATGGAGCAATGAAATCCCCACTGTGCAGAATAGCATTACCATGTTGTCATTTTGTGCATGAAACAAATACAGGCAGTTTTATGATAAGTGAATTCCCCCATGTGTCTCTGTCCTTCTCCAGACATCCATACGAAGGCTCCAAAACATCTTAGAATGAAGCAATATCATCTGGTTTGTTTGATGTTTTACATAACAAATGAGTTGAATGTGGTGTGACAGCACACTGAGTGCTGGAAAGACACACATTCAAACACACTTCCTGTAAAAACAACACCCGCCCACATAACCAGTGTTCCTAGAATGACTCCTATAAAAGAAAATTATGAAACTGATCAGGCATTGTATTGTATTGTAATTGTAAGTTAAAGAAATCATGTATGATTAAGAACGTAAATGCAAACTTTAAACAATTAAAGTCTCAGCAATTAAAGGCTTAGGCCTTAATGCCTATGAATACTGACATTCCTTGCTGATCACATTTTCCATTGATACAACTATTATATACTTTTTCTTAAGCGTACTGGATGAATAAAAATCACAGTCAGTCTCACCACTGTCAATGTTATAGGGGCATAAATATTACTACCGAACAGGGGCGCAACTGCACATTTGCCGAGGGGTATGCAAGATCAGTGTCGGCGCCCCCCTGTATTCTAGTAGCCACTAACTCGTGCAGAAAACTTTCTGCAAGTCAATGACCAAAAGCCCATTACTAGCTTGTGCATGGAAGGATACAAACTCATCAGGAGTGAAAAAAGTGACAAATGTTTGAACCCCCTTCCCTCCTTTTTAATACCATAGGGGAAAAAGTGAAAAGTAAAAACAAGAAAAAAAAGAAAGAAAAGTGTGTCACATAACATCCCCTTCAACTCCTGATGGCAGACCCCAGACAGTAGAACACATTTTTTATTGATTTTTATTTTAAAACACATGTACTATTGCACACGTTTTAGTTAGCTAATTTGAATATATATATATATATATATACAAATTATATATATATAATTTGCCTCAAAATGATTAATATTTTTGCACATTTGTATGTAGTAAAATTTATTTTAAAGAACATCTGGATTTTTAATTTTTTGTTTTCATTTTTACTTAAAGAGGTAATTCATGGAAAATTTGCTAAGTGGAAGATATCTGCCAAGATTTCACCTGGTAGAAAAACAAATACTATTAAAATGAATGTCATGATTCCCACTATGACCACTAAATGGCAGCAGAGGATCATTTATTGTCTCCTTTGCATATCAGTTATCGGGCACATAAACATGCAAATAATTGATATCAGTTATAAAATATCAATATCGGTCGATCACTAATTATAACATTTAAAAATCTCTTTTTTGTCAGAAGTAGCAAGAGTTCCCTTTCATGGGAACTTCGAACTGCGTCCTCTAGGGGGCGCTATGGGAAACCTAGAGGACGCAGTGTCTCGAAAAGTGACTAGTTTGTATCCTTGTTTACAATCTTAGTTTCTCTCAAATATAAATCAAATGCCCATTCACAAACATGTTTCCACCATTGCACCATTGCTTGTTCTCCATCATTGCATAGGCCCACTCATGGATGAGACATGCAGATAACTAGTCAACCTTCACTACCTAAATCGAGCTCTGTACAAAGGAAAATAATGTAACAATGTAAAATAATTTTTTTTTTTCATGCATTTAAATATGGTTTCATTTCCTTTTCATTTTCGTACTTTACAAATTAACGAAAAATTAGCGCATATTTTCTAGTACATTTAACTGCACTGTGCTCACATTTGGCCTACTTGTGCCTTAAATTATAAATAAAAAAATTACATAGCCTATCATCTTGCGCCCTATTGTGATCTCGAATTGCAGAATATTTCAGTAGGCTGCGGGCATTTGAGAGACGTTCTTAAATGTAATGCACATACATGCATGCACAGTTTTGCAGTTTTAATCGCCATTTTGGTAATTTCATGACTAAACTGACAATGTATGCTCGCAGTTTCTAGTGCGGTTTATTTATGTAGTGAGCGTGCGCCTCATTTTCGCGTACAGTTGAAGAGTGTGTGCCGTGAGCACAGTAAAACGGCTGACAGGACAGGAAAATTTTTTACTGACATATAACAATATCTCATCAGACTGCAGTTCTCTGTTGTTCTACTGAAGCTCATTTGGCACATGTACCTTTTCCTGCTGAGGGCAAGCTGAAGTGCGTGTCTGAAAAGTCTCCCGTTTGTTGTGGTCGCAAAGAGATACGGCCGTTCCGTGTCTCTTAATAAGTTTTTAATAAAATACATTTTTGAACTCATTAAAATGCTAAAAACCGTTAAATAAAAATGTTGCATTACATTATTTTTTAATAACTAAGCGTTTGATTATTTAACAGAATAATTTTGGCAAAATGGCGCCCCCCTATGTGTGGCGCCCCTATGCACTGCATATACTGCATACCCCGTTTTTGCACCACTGCTACCCAATAGTAATATTTATTATTAAAAATGGAAAGTTAAATTGTATACACTACCATTTAAAAATTTGGGGTTAGTAAAGTTTATTAATTTGATCAAAAATACAGTAAAACATGAATATTGTGAAATATTATTACAGTTTATAATAATTGTTTTCTATTTGAATACACTGTAAAATGTCATTTATTTCCACGATGGAAAAACTGAATTTTTAGCAGTGATCACATGTTTTCATTGTAACATGATCCTTCGGAAATCACTCTAATATGCTGATTTGGTGCTCAAGAACAATTTCTTATTATCAATGTTGAAAACAGTGGTGCTGATTAATATTTTTGTGGAAACTATGATACTTTTTTTTCAAGATTCTTTAAAAGCACAGCAATAGAAATAGAATAGAAATCCTTTGTAACATTATAAATCTCTTTACTGTCACTTGTGATCAATTTCATGCATACTTGTTGAATAAAAGTTTTCATTTCTTTCTTTTAAAACGCACTTGAATGCATATCCTAAGAAAGATGTTGTCTTCACTCTCAACTCTAGTTCACTGTGTGATAAGACACATAACAAAAAAGCATGACACATTGTCTATTCAGAGAATAAAAACGTTTTCTAAATATACACTCATCCACAAAATAAGGGTGAATTGCATGTAACTTTGTCTGTTCTGTTTTACAAAACTAGCCTTAACAAGTCTGTATTAAATCCATAATTATTTGAGAATAGCCTAAAAAGTGACAGTTATTTAAAACAATAAGAGTTATGGGTGGAAGGTTATCAAAAAATAAAAAATAAGAGCAGCACCTGTAATTCGACTAATGGCGTGTAGTAATCACACTGACTTATGCTCTGAGGTAAGAATAAACGTGCTAAACTCTATTAAGAAGATCACATTGTCTCAACCCTGAGGTCACCTAGCAACCCCTGTCTGTGTTCACAACATCATCAAGCTGCAAACAGCCGGTGCTGGGAGAAATGCTCTGCTTATGCCTAAGCACGCATGCAGGCACACATACAATGGCAGACAAAACAGGAAACCACAGTCACCCATGTGTTTGGCCTAATTTGAGCTATTGAAGAAATCAGATCACAAACAGATGAAACACTGTCACCTTAATAAACTTACTCTCTACTTTATGGTTGTGGCAGACCACTGTCAAAACAATATGCACCCCACCCTCCCCATTCATGAAGAATGATTGAGTTTGTTAATGTAAATACAGTGCCACGCTGTACAACAAAATACTGTGACATTTTCATCACATTTGTTTTGTTTTCATGTTCTAGAAGATGTACATTCAAAGCACCTTTCAAGATACCTTCAGTGTAAAAGCCATTACAGAACTGTCTGAAAACTGCCACACAATAACAGCACATATAAATGGAGTTGGTCATAACTGACGTGTTACCTTTGCAGACAAAGCACTTGATGTGGAAGTGTTTGTTCTGCACCCGGAGCACCTCGCCTTTGCAGGGCTTGCCACAGTTTTGACACGGGATGGGGCCGCTTTGCCGCTGTCCCTTCTGCTGTTCCAGGGAACTGTGAACAGCCTGCTGGTGAAATGCTGTGGAGACACAGTGAGAAAAAAGTTTGGCTGAAAAGTGTATATATCCCCAAATACAGCATCAACTGACAGGTATAGAAACATTTAGGAATTAGTCGATAAACTATACTAATCTAACCTGACCTTAATCTGAATATTGGGGGAAACGTGTCTATGGTCCTCTATAACTAAAGTTAGCAGAAATAATAAGAGTAGTATGCTCGTATGCTAGAGCAAATTTAGACATTGAATAGTCAATATTGAAAATATGAATTATTTTCTATTAATTTATTTTTTAGGTGTAACAATAATGTAGCACGTTACTTTGAAAAGTACAAATCTTGAAGTTGTCTACATCATGCCATTGTCGTAAATTTTTTGACATCTGAGAATATCATTCAAGCCTACATTTGAAAAAAATAAAAATAGAGTTTTTTTTTTCTCCCATGAATCTTTAAACTCTGGGTAAAGCCAGTGTACTTATTGGTAACTAAAACTAATAAAAATAAAATAAAATAAAACATAAATATTAGGTGGAAAGCTTTGAAAAAATGTAATAAATTATTTTTTGAAATGTTGCCTTGGCAGATAACTGAAATAAATAAGTTGAAGTACTAAAATTACTAAAAATAAAAATGAAATAATAACTGAAGTTAACCAGAAATATTAAGTGACAAAAACACATACAATTTACTAAAACATAAACTAATATAAAAAAAATAAATGCTAACTTAAAAAATCGGAATACTACAACAGTACTATAATAGTATATTATTTTAAATATTTCTATTTTTTATTAATTTTTTTTATAATGTAGCGTTTAAATGTGTTGCTTTAAAATGTAAATCCTGCCATTGTCTACAACATGTTATTGTTGTGATTTTTTTTTACATTTGGGAATATCATCTAAGTTAACATTTTACTTAAAAAAAACAAAAAAAACATTGTGCCCACTAAAACAAGAGAATGGATTAATAAATCATGGGAATGAATTCTTGTCTCCCTCCCCCCAGCATGTGCTGGGATCCATACTAAAATATTACATGACCTTGTACCCTCTCACGCCATTGTTGACGGATAATCACAGAAACAGTGAAGATGAGTTTGCTGTAGACATGGATGATGTCAGGGCTCGGATCTCCATTGTAAATTTTTAAGCTGTCATTTGCGCCTGTCTGGAACCCAATATTCACACCTACTCCATTACAAAGGCGTGTAAACTCAAACAAACACTTTATAATACAGTCCAAGACACAGCTAGAGAAAGACCTTCAACCTCTTGTTTTAAAAGGGCGTGTAGCAAAACTGGTTCTGTTGGACGTCCCGTTCAATTCTGTAGTGAGAGTTTCACAACAGGTGTTCCCCTTGTGAAGTCTAGGGGATAAATGGCTACAGAGAAATGTGTTTTTGCTTGTTCTCAGAAGCAAGAACCTGTATTTGCCCCTCATTCATTGAGAAGTCTCTAAGAGCTGCTGGTTTCAGCTCGCTCACATAGACTTACTGAGCCTTTGTCTCTAATCAGATAAAAGTGCTTTGAGAGGAAACTACAGTAATCAATCAATGAATGTGTGTGTGTGTGTGTGTGTGTGTGACTGTATTTGTCATGTCACAGGGAAAGACAACCCATCTGCCAAATCGTAACACAGTACGAGACACCTATTTAAAGTCAATTTGAATTTCTATTTGCAACCAATTTTATTTTGTAATGTGACACATTTCAGAGAAAAAAATGGAGCCAGAACAATTCTGAGTTTGCTAAAACAATGCCTAAAAAAGATTTGGCTGTTGGTTAACATTATTGAGTATAGCCTGCATGGACTATACAACGTCAGCAGAAAAGTTGTTTCAAATGAGAAGCAAGTTATAAAATTTTCATGAGTGAGATATTCCTCGAAACTCTAAATAAATCATTTGAAGCACTCTGAACCAGAAAGGTTAGTTTAAGAATTTGTATTAGTCATTCAGATTGGCTGATGGCAAAAAACAGAAACAGGCCTACTAATTTGTCAATCCCTTTTACCTGTACCATTAATCCACCAAATGACATCTCATTTATACTTATTATACAAATACGCTCTGGGAACCTCCACTACATTCACATGTTTTTATAAATCCTAAGAGAGACTCTTGTGCTGCTGAAGCACAAGCAGAAGCAGCATGCTGGGAATATTTAAAGACTCCTTTAAAGCACAAACTATTTCCTGCTTTCACAGATCAGGTAGAGTTGTTAAACAATATTGGACATGCATGACAATCCAACCCTAAAAACGCAATGAAAAACTATGGACAACTCACTTTTAGCATGCTGACTGTATATGGTAATGCTTTATACCTGAATTAATCTTTTTAAGACAGATAGTATTTTCATAAATAGCTCTACAGGTTCTTTTTTTCCATAAAGTATGCTTCCAAAAAAAGAAAGGCAAGTTTTAAGTCCCATCAACCCTCATAAAGAGGTCAATGTATTTAACGAATGCCAGGTACAATCCAGCTATCCAAAACAAAGACCTATGCCCTATGGGGACAGGAAGGACAAACGTTATCATTTTAGACCAGCATGCAATTGTTTTGCGTGTAGTCTACCATAAATTTAGACTCATGCTCATCTACATTTTTAAAACTTGGGCAAACCTAGTGCAGTTACTGTTAACTAAAATGAAGTCTATCTAAAATCATTCGAAATAAAGCTGAAATAAAATACAATTTAAATATTAAATAAAAAACTTACACTTTAAAAATGTTGCCTTTTCAACTAATTGAAATAAATAAGTTTAACTAGAAGTATAGAAGTAGTGAGATTACTTAAAGCTAAATACAAATATTTAAAAAACACTAATAAAAATGACAGAAGTACATACAATTACGAAAACGTTACAACTGAAAATAAAGAAATAGAAGCTAATTCAAAATTTAAAAACACTACATACACTCTAAAAAATGCTGGGCTGTTTCAACCCAACTTTGGGTCAAATATGGACTAACCCAACTTTTGGGTTAAAAATTTAATTAAAAAAATTTAACCCAACAGCTGGGTTAGTCCATATTTGACCCAAAGTTGGGTTGAAACAACCCAGCATTTTTTAGAGTGTAATATTATATACATTCATACACCAAAGGAGGTTACATGTTATTGTAAAAAACAGCCAATCATAAACCGTCTAACAGGTTACCTCATTAAACATTCATGCACTTTGTACCTCTCAGCATCTGAGAGGTTTTGTGTGTAACAGGAAACTCCAATCATCACTCTAATGATGAAGAGAATGTCAACCAGAATTGATTTATGTCGATTATTTTTCATTCTTCTGCAGAACAAAAAGTATGTTGGGTCCAAACAACAACAGACTTGCATTTTATGTACAAAAAGAAAAAGAACAAAAAAACACTGAGACATTTTGCAAAATAACTTCTGTGCAGAAGAAAGAAAGAGTGAACTATTACTACAGCTTTCAAGTCACAATGTCTGTCAAGTGTAAAAGCCCATATACTATAGGGTGTATAAAGAGGATTGTGGTGCCTTCCATAAACTACAGCAAACCACATCATAAAAGGGAGAAAAAAGTGATTGAATCTTATAGACCTAACCACATCTCTGATAAGAACTCGATAAGTCAGGGTGGATCATCGTCAAGTTCTCATGAAGTACAGTACAAAAACAATCCAGAGTTTTCCCAAACCTCTGACTCCTTTCAACCTGAGGCAAAAATCTGTGGTTAAAGTAATAAAGGCATAAAGCTGTACTGCAGTAGTAAGATCCCTATCCCCACACCTGCTCTGCTCATACACTCTTCGGCATGCTTCACATGTCCACATCATACATCATCAAAACCTCTGTAAGCACGACCAACTTCAGCGTAAGGGGAGGAGTTTGTACCACATGTCGTTAAACACACACTCACACACACACACACACTATACTTTTCACCAACTTGCTCGCTCATACAGACAGAGTCATCCATCTTTAAGCAGATTCTCCATAAATAGAGCATCCAGTCAACCCGTGGGGATTCCATCATGCCCTGCTACATTCTGCTTGAGGTCCATGCGCATGGCTGGCATGTGTGTGTATTTGAAAGGCTCAGATTTCCACCGCAGGATGCCTCTGCTACTTGACTAGCCAATAATCACTCGTCATTTGCTTTTTTGCAAATGCAATTGTGGGTGTGGGGGTAAGATTGAATAATAGAAAGCCTTTGAATGCTAGAACATTCATGCTATTACTCATGCAACATAATTAAATATTGCAGAATACTTCCACAGTTATGAGTTAAATATGAGCCCCATTCCTCAAATATCACACTATGCATGTCGAAGCTGTTTGATGTTCCCTATGAGCAACAAGGAGAGGTTTACATTTTCATCTCCTGCATTTACCATCTCTTCATTCACTTCCACTGAAGAGTACAGATTCATGAAACAAATTCACGTCACGTCTTGACCTCAAAGTGACCTAATGGTCACAGACACATTTTGATGATTCTTCTGTGTTAGACGGTTTATGATTGGCTGTTTTTTACAATAACATGTAACCTCCTTTGGTGTATGAATGTATATAATATTACACTCTAAAAAATGCTGGGTTGTTTCAACCCAACTTTGGGTCAAATATGGACTAACCCAGCTGTTGGGTTAAATTTTTTTAATTAAATTTTTAACCCAAAAGTTGGGTTAGTCCATATTTGACCCAAAGTTGGGTTGAAACAACCCAGCATTTTTTAGAGTGTAATATTATATACATTCATACACCAAAGGAGGTTACATGTTATTGTAAAAAACAGCCAATCATAAACCGTCTAACAGGTTACCTCATTAAACATTCATGCACTTTGTACCTCTCAGCATCTGAGAGGTTTTGTGTGTAACAGGAAACTCCAATCATCACTCTAATGATGAAGAGAATGTCAACCAGAATTGATTTATGTCGATTATTTTTCATTCTTCTGCAGAACAAAAAGTATGTTGGGTCCAAACAACAACAGACTTGCATTTTATGTACAAAAAGAAAAAGAACAAAAAAACAC